TTGTTGGAGTTATAGTCATCTGCTCTGTGATAGTAAGAATCTATCTGCCCAGATGTTGGGTTGATGTTTTAGACACAGCCCCTAAACATACATTGCTGAATCCCTCCCCCCCCCCCCCCCGCCGTGGTTTTCTTTATCCTCTGTTGAAAGACCATTTCACCTGCAGTTTCTACTGTGGCTGTTTTTAAGACAACTTGGTGGGCACTGGACCTTGAAACTGCATTTCCTGTGTAGAGTATAACTTCAGTAGCCACTGTATAGAAACACCAAGGATACGTGCAGTAGCTCCCAGAGACAGATGAGAAGTCTTCAGTCATTTGTGACAGTGTAAGGGACCAGGCAGCTCACAAATCTCACTAGGAGAAACAGCCAAATGTGGGTGGACAGAAAGCCTCCTGCACCATCGGATGGATGCCAGGGCTGGGTCGCTGAGATGACAAGATGAACGCAAATTTACACTTAAACCTTATAGCGAGCACTAACAGGAGAAGTCAGATGTGGTCCTTGGAGGTTTCTGGAGAGTACTTGGCGCTCCTGTCCGGGGCAGAGGCCAGGTCTCCTGCGTGACCGGAGGTGTGGGTCCTGGCTCCTGCAGGCAGCACTTGGTGCTGGCTCCAGGCCGGCCCTGAACACACGCTCTTGCTCTCCTGCGTCCTTGCTGTGCAGCTGATTCTCAGGTGCTGTTTGTTATTTCCTCTCTCCCCGGACACCCACACTGCGGGCATAAATTACAGGCTGGAAGCCAAGGTGCCCGTGTGGCCAAAACAGGCCTCTGTCCCCAAGGTCAGGCCAGGCCCCGAAATCTCCCTTCTACATGACAGATCCCGGAGAAGAGGCCTGAGGCGAGATTTCAGAAGAGCTGGCTGTTTCTCTGCAGACAAGGAACAGCAATTATGACAGCCATTAGGGGTTAGCTTAAATCGCAGGAGTAAAGGTGGGTCACCCTTGACATTATTCCACCTGTATGGAGATAGAAAAGACCTCATGAACTACCATCGTACTGGCAGAAATGGCGGTGCCGAACTATGCAAAGCTGCAAGTGAAACAGCCTCCTCGCCCTGGGAGTCTAATCGCTCTGGCTTCCAGATTGCAAGGGGCTGACCCCTTGGTAAACTCTTCAGAAACTTCCCGGGCCCATGAGTTTCAGATATTACTCAAAAGAATGAGTTTCTCTCTGTGTTAGTTTAGGAATCTAAGATGAGTAGCTCAGAAAGCAATTTCTGAGACCTGGTTTGTAGTGCTTATGACAACAGTTTTGAAATTCTATTTATTTGCATATGTAAGTTTGTACATAGTAAACCTCAGGTTGGTTTTTGTTTTTTTGGTTTTTTGAGGGACAAGTTTGACTTTTGTTTTGAAATGAAGTACTTCAGTTGTCGTTTTGTCCCAGCATTTCAGTTAACTCAGGACCCTTTTTATTTTGCCTGTTTTAGCCACAACAGTAGCCCACAGGTGGGGGCAGGGGACTGAGTTATTTTTCCTTTACTACTAGTTCTTGTACTCATTTGCCCTTGTGGCTAATAGTGACAACCTCGAAGATGCAGAGTGCACACACAGATGACTGCTGTCCTGCACGGTTGTATCGCTGTTCTGTAGGACACCTGTAGGTGTGTATATGTTAATGGCAGTGGCACATGGGACATGCCTGTGTCTGTGCCACTGGGCGAACAGCATCATCTGGCTACAGGGTGCTACATCGTAACCCCTTAGTTTTCCATCTGGACTCAGCTGTGTGCCCCTGGCAGAAGGACAGCTCCAGGTCATGAATCATTGATGTCATTGCAATTGCTATTTTTTAAAATAAATTTATAAAAACACTAAAAAAAAAAAAAGATTTGCCTTTAATTACTTTTTATAACATGCCTAAGACATTCCAAAGCAGGAGACTTTCAAAGATATACATGGAAAGAAAATTCGCCATGTTGGATAAAGGGACTGTATTTATTCTGGGGGTACTGTGCACACATGCATATATGATAAGATATATACGCAGTACTAGAGAAGAAAAAGACTATAGTCTCAAGGGTGTGTGTGTATGTGTACATGGATTAAAATACATATACAGTCCTGGGAGACAAAATGTCTTATCTGGGAATACACATAATTTGTACACACATACATCTGTGTACATTTACACATTCAATCAAATACATGTTCAGTACCATAGAGGAAAAATAGTGAATGACATTCCTCCGATTCTCAAGTTTCTCAAAAGAAAAAGACACATACCATGAAACATATGACAATGTAATAAATCTTATAAAACGGGTATTTAATGAATTATTTCAGAAATTTAGAGTTGACTTTGCTACGTGTTAAAGTAATACTAGAGTTTCACTAAGCAAAGATTGGAAGATGAGCTGAAGACACAAAGCCAGAGATGTTAAAAAATAATAATAATAATGATCAGGTAACAGGGACCGACAGAAGAACGACTTCTGGCAAATGGCTAGAGATAATGGTAGTAGCATAATTTGGGGACCAGAAATTAGACTCCTCTAAAAGCTTTACTAAAAAACTTCATTCTATTCTCAAAGCAACTAGACACTGTAAAAAGATATTAGGTGGAGAATAAAATAATTCAATCTGTACTTTTAAACTGTAATTCAGGCTATAGTAAGAGGATTGTAAGGATGAAGAGACAAGCAGAAAAAATCAATTAGGAAGCTATTGCAAAGTTGATGCCTATAATTATAAAGGCCTCTTCTAGGGTATCACAGTGGGAGATGAGAAGGAGAACAAGAGACATTTTAGAAGTGGCAACTACTGGAACTGACTGTAAGGAACTAGGGAAAGAAGAGGCAAAGATTCTGTGAGATTTTGCATTGGGTGATGGAAGTGCAAAAAGCTAAGACTAAGAAAACACTCCTAGCACAGAAAGGTATTTAAGGAATATTCAAATTGAGTGAGAGGGGCTGGAGAGATGGCTCAGTGGAACAAGCGCTTCCCTAGCAACTGCAAGGGTCTGAGTTCAATCCCAGGGCCTGAGTTCAATCCCTGGTTCCACAAAAAAAAAAAAAAAAAAAAAGCACTGCCTTGGACCTTCCTGTCTTCAGAGTTAAAAGCTCCTGACGACTTCAAAACAGAGGCTACAGCTAGCTGTAAGACTCATAGTTGAAGCCATAAAAGATAAACTCAACACAAGG